GTTGAACCCCCGGGACAAAGGTCAAGCGAGTTCGTCGGTCGGCTCACAATGGCTAATAGGGTACACACGGTCTCGCGTACGCGCGAATAGAGAAGAAGAAAACTCGTGTAGACGTCCGCGTCTGGCCGCGTTTGCATCACGGGAAAACTTGGCTAATGAAAGTGCCGTAATTGCCCGGTAACTGGATCACGCTCGATGAACGAAACGAATCACGGATTCCCTAACGCTCGTTTAAATTGCCTCGAGAGCAGACTTTCGAGTAAGCTGCTCCACCGTTCTCCGTACGTAATAGCCAAATTAGCTGATTTCGCGAAAGATGAATCGCGTTCTCTGTCCGATCGATTCTTACAAACGAATTTACCTAGCCCGGAACGAAATTTGGAGATGGTTTCGAAACGTTCGAGCTTCCGGTCGAAATAATTTCCAGTCGTCGCGCCTCGACCGGATCGCCGAGACGGTATCAGTGATTTTACCACGGTAATTAACGTTACTATCCTGTAAGAACAGAAAGATCCGCGGCGCGTTCCTCTTTTCCGGTACGATCCGTGAGACAGAGGGGGGCCAATTAATTAGAAGCCTCGTTAATCGACGCACACACTCGATCCGCTCGGGCCACTACCTGCCGATGTACTAATCGACCGTATCTGACTTGGTCGAGGCAACGGGATAGGTGAATCCCGTCGAGCGTACTCTTTTCCTTCCGGTCGAACAGCGCTAAGTTCTCCGGCTAGCCGGTTGTTCAAATTTCCGGCTCCCGTAGTTTCATCGAATGCCCCGAGGCCGTTGCCTCTCTTCGGCTCCCGAGTTTTCCCGTAAAAAGGAGAACAACCATGAACTTCGTGACCGTTCAGCTCTTTTACCAAAGAGCTGCTTCCGCTTTTCTTATCTACTCGCCGGCATCGCGTGTACCACAGTTTTTCTCTTTACGCGTTCCGTTCCCAGCTGCGAATAAACTATTTCTAGTCCGCGTCGGCGACGATCAACGATGCTCGTAACATCAGGCGAGTCGTAATTAACGGTAGAGATTTATCATATCGGTGGGGTAGCAGAGATCGGGCAATTTACCACGCGGACCGCGTTATCTCGCCGACGGCAGAGGTAAAGGACTAAACCGGATAAGATAAGCGACGTATCGCGAAGGACAAACAGTGGCCAGTGACAGTGGTGCACCCCGAGCTTCCGGTTTCGCCCATGAAAATAAAGCATCCGACGCGCGCTACCGCGAGATAACGGCACGTTTGTACGTGAACCCGACGGCGTTATCTCTCCTCTTTCGATTATAAAAAAAAAAAACCGAGCGAGGAGATTCGTCTTCTTCCGCGATGATCGCGATCGATCGGAGGCGAAATCGCGTGACCGGAAGCGGGCCGCGTGGGCGTAGTACCGTGTTTCCAGTTTGTACGAATCCTGTCACCGATAAGAAGAAGCCGGTCGGGTCTGCCGGTGGAATATTTCTGTTCGGGCGTATCGATTTTACGACAGGGCGCGAGACACTGCGACTCGATACGAGGGTGATGAAAAATATTCGTCATCTTCGCATGCACATTTATGTACGAGATATTTCTCGTATCTCGAGAAAGACGATACTGCTCATTTTACTATTTGTCGTCGGGATGCACCAGCCACAGACGTTAAATACGATATTCGATGCAACGATTCGCGTATTAATCGAATAGACGCGCACGGTAACGACGCGAACGGGTCGGAGGCGTCTGCGGCGGCGGGCTTTCATTTGATTTGGCTGGGAAACAAGGAGAGCACGGAGTTCCGATTACGATGCTCTAATCGTTAGCTTCACAGGGCATTCGCCATTAACTGGCAACCGGCCGAAAACACGTACGAGGCAGAGATCGATGATTTATCGTGCAAGAAATATTCGCTGAACGCGCGACATTCTTCATCGGAGCGGCGCGGCGCGCCGCACGAGCAGTTGGATAGAAATCGCGCCCGACGGGACGCGCTTCCCATTATTTTCGTGTTTCTTTAAACGGCCGTCAAAAGCATTTTTATTGCGACACAATGCGGCACTCGAAGAGAAATTGATCTCCGTCGTGCTTCACTTGAACGCTCGTAGACTGTGCGTTCCAGTTTCATTTGGAATCGTAGTAGAATGGGACTTAGAGCGTCACGCAAGACTCCCTTATTTAATTCCATATTACCCTTTCGTTAGGGAAAAGATAAAAAAAAGGATGCCAGATCCGGTTCGAGGTCGATTCCCCTGGCTTCCATCAAGGTCGGAGCGTGTGACGTTCCCATTAAGACACAATAGATCGTTTCGAACCGTGGGCTTCTGTCAGAATTAATTTCACGGAAATGCTTTTCGTGATTCGCTTCGTTCCCGATTCTCAGTGCAACTGGAAGCGCCTAGCCAAACGCACAATCAGCGGCTTCGATTTTCGAACGGCATCGTGGCCTGTGCCTCGGCTCGTTTCATCTCGCTCGCGTAATTTCGGGTAATTGCTGCATTACGCGTACACGCCGCAGCGGAGCGGATTCGATTCCTCCTCTGTACGCCCGATGTTACATGATCGACCGTCCAAGCGCAACGAGAAATACCTATTCCTACCTGTGCCCACTCTGCGACGTAACACGGCGGCTATATGCGATACCAGTTCTGCTGGTATCGCAGCAGAAACGTTAATTACTTGATCTCCTGAGAGAAGTGACCAAGTCGCATAAAATTTGTAATAACTACACTGAAACCCTTGATAACCGGTGTACGTACGTTGGTAAAGAACGACGATACTCGTCAATTGAGCAATCTACGGATCAATTCAGTAGGAAATTCGTTTAATAAGGCGTGGTGCCGCGATTGGTCGAGGACGATTTCATTGCTCGATTTCTTTGTACCCTAAGCGCCCAGATGGGCTTAAGTAATGCCGACCGATCTTCGCGAAGGAGACATCGTTTATTTTTATTCCCTCGCATCGGGACGAATCGCGTGCGAGCGTGGAGAACGCATCGGAATTCGCTCGAGCATGAATCGCGTTACAGAGGCTCGGGTAGAGACCAGGATCGTCGACTACGGCCTTGCCTCTGGTAAAATTAATATTCCGTAACGGGCCGTCCGGCGACGATTATGTAATTTATCCCGCGAGAGATTCGACATCGATACGCGACGGTGCTCCTCTTTTTCGACGCCATTGCGTCTCCTTTCCAAGGTTGTCGTGGACAGACACGAGGAACGACGAGGGAAAACCAGGACGAATTCGCAAACACGTTTTCGAGCTGCGCGCGAGCGCGATCGATAAATTTAATTATGTGCGACGGACGTTTTGAATTCCTTCCAGACGCGCGTCAAGCACGTAAAAACAGTGCCACCGGTCACGTCATTAACGTCGGGGATAATGATAAGATAACGAAAGGTGGACGAGGCAAACAGGCATCGTTCCTAAACGTTACTTACTTTCGTCTGTAGACTCCTAATTCTACATGGGTCAGTCACGCGCACTCGTTAGGTTTCCCAAGGGGAAAACAAGTAATTCCGTAATGGAATTCTAACGTCTGCTCACATATCGACATAAAGCCAGAAACGTTTTGGCTTATCAATTGTCTGTAGCGAATTGGCATTACAATTGAATGTGTTCAATCAATCCGTTGATCGATATTCATTTATCTTCGACGCTTACGCAACCTAGTAACATAGTGCCAGCAAAAGTAGAATTTCCGGAGGGTAGCAATGGGGAACACATAAAGATACGATTCATGACTGAAAACGTTCGTTTGATACGCGTATCGTTACGACTCTCGGACCCTCGATTACGACGAGGCGACCGGGCGAAAGTTTTTCGACAGTACCCGAAAATTGTAAGTCAAAGCAAAATCGGGACAGTATCAACGTAATCGAACGAGATACTTTCCGTCGACGTTTTCGTTCGAGATGAACCTCGGGCAGAAAACGTCCGACAGGACGATAACAGCAAGGAGGAAGCCCTTCCTCTTGCGTAACGATTACCTAAGTTATCCCGTGTGTCATCCGACGGTTGCATTTTATGTAACACGACTCGCATAATCGCGATCCCGTCTCGCCGGCGTGACAAACACACACGGAGAGGCTCAAAGATGGCCTCTCCTGTCGTTTGCTTTCGTTTTATTACGCATTGTTTAAAAGACGTGGCCCAGTTTTCGCCGAGTCTCCACGCTTTTTCGTTCGATCATAGAACAGGGATCTGTACTTACGATAAGGACGAATACCGTGTTCCAGTGGTCCGCTCTCAAAGCACTCCCGTGTCGACGGCAAATCCACCACCTGATCCGAAACTTTCGGGACTGGAGCACACGTTTCTCACTGACCGAGACGACTGTACCCACGGCCGTATTGATGAGAAATGAACGGCCGGTCAGTCCGCGGTTCAATGACGGTGAAGACACCGTGACAAACGTAGGATCGCGGATAATATACAAAACACCCGGGTCTTGCGAATTCGATCGGCCCCGATCAGTTGTCGTAAACACTGGACGCCATGCTCTTTCACTGCCTGTCAATATCCGTGCAGCACACTGCACGTCTCCGCCATCTTGCGGTGACGCCATCTTGCCGCTTACGCGACGGTGCTGCCATTTACCGACCGTTCTATCAAATACAATTGAAATTCAAATGTAAATTGTTGCAATTGCAGAGATCGAATAATTTTTTCAAAGAGTGATTGCATCATTTTTTTACCTTAAAATATACATATATAGTTTATTACTGACGTTTGAAGCATGTATGTTAGTGATACAAAAAGAATCGTCGTATGTTCGATAATAAATAAGAGGGTAAGATGGTAAGGATAATAATTATAGTACGAACACACATCACATGTCTGAGGGAGTTACAACAGCTAAATACTCTCTTACAATTAGAATAAGAATACGTTTCTGGAACTATTCGTGTTACCGTAGCAGATAGCGATAAACAAATGATGCAAAGATGATACGATAATCAGTAATAATTAGACCACGGATTTGTACGCAAAGTGAAACGTTCATCGATTTAAAGAATGCATTTTAGACAGATATTTATTTCGTACCTTTATAAATGCATAAAATCCGCAGTCTAGCGATAATACTAAAATAAATAAAGATGAGTTTACTCGGTGAGTAAATGTGCGAAGATGTCGGGGGGGATCATGAAGTTCAAGTTGGGATATTTGTGTCACGTCCGGATCGTTTGCGATCCGAAAACGGAGAACGCGAAATAAATACGGGGATCGGGTAATTCGCGCGCGTATAACCATTCAAAATGCCGAACACGTACCTTGAAAATTGGCCGTCGCTTCTACAGTCTTGATTATCGATGATCGACCGATGCAAATATACGGGAGAGCGGTTCGATTACGGAAATGACAATAAGAATCTCGATTGCGGTCGATTAACGGGTATCTCGAGCCAGGTTCGGGCAATTTAACGAGGCTCTCGTTCCTCGAAATAACTTTTTCCTTCGAAAGACACATGGTATTAAAATTCCAGCTCGACGCTTCCTGTCGGTTGATTCGTTTTTCATAAGTGTAGCATCGAGATCGTAGGATACGTCGTAGGATCGGATCGTACGATAGTCAAATCGTTTTGGAATATGCAGTTTCTTTTTTGAGGAGGAAGTTTCCAATGAGGATAGAATTGGATTAATCTAGTACAAATAATTCTTAGGTTCTTCGGTCGGTTGGCCGCAGAGGCCGTGATACTTTTTCGTAACTAGACTTCGACTGCGGCAGTTCTCGATTTCCAGGAAACATTCGTTGCTGTAGGTCTTGCCGTCGGTGCCACAAACCGGATCGTAGTAGGGCGGGCAGATCTTCTGACAGCCTCGAAACAGGAAGCCTTGTATGCATCTCTTCATCGGGACCACGTACACGTGTTTCCTAAACGAAACAAACAATCGGGAACACTCGAAATAAGTTCGACCGACTCCTAGCGATGATCACGCTATTAGTAATCGAGCTGTACTTGCCCGCAATTGTCTCTCTTCATCTCGCACTCGTTACGATAGAGCTTGTTGTCGGAACCGCAAACAAACTGACGTTCTCCGCTGCAGATCTGATTGCAAAGCGCGGTCGTGGGGCAATGCTGTGCTGGAACTTGAACCACCCTCTGACCGCATGTCTCGCGCCGCAGATGGCAAAGGGATCTAAACGCACGTAAATAGATTATTTTCAACATGCGAATTTCTCCGAGAAATAGTAGACGTCGAGCGTTCCGTGAGTTAGTTTAAAAAAAAGGAGACTGTTATTTATTATCGCTCTTAAAGAAACTACCAAGTGCTCGTCAAACGAGCGTTCGTGATTCACACGGTGTTAAACTCTCGGCGCCGAACGTCTTGGAATCCAAATAACGCTGTTAATCACCGGTAAACGTTCCCGTCGCTTCCACAAACTGGTTCCTCGGGCACCTCGCTGCAGTCTTCGGGGCACTGTTCAACTTCCCTCAAGGTCGTGCACTCGCCGACGTGAGCCAATTGAATACCCTTTCTGTAAAGACAACGGTAACGACCGAGATCAACGACTGACCGATCCATTATTAATGATCGTCGTAACCGATACACATAATGTGAAACGTTTACCAGTAATAGCTTCCCGGTACAGTTAATTAACTTCTCGTACGGTTACTTCTAATTAATAGAATGCAAACTTACAAGCACACCGCGACGTTCAGATGACACTGATTCGGATAAGTGTTGGCATCGCTTCCGCAAACTGGATCCACCTCGTTCCCGCATTTCTGCTGCTGCTTCGTGCACTTGGTCAGACGCGGACGGCACTTTTCGAAATCGACCACCGTCACCTTTCTCCTCGCTTGCCTGACGAACCATGAAACGTTAGACGTCTTTCATCGATTTCAATCGTCGAACACGATACGTACCCGCAATTCAGCATCTGCATCTCGCACTCGTTCCTGTAGACGCTTCCGTCCGATCCGCAGGTCGGCGCTTCTAGCTCGTTCTTGCAGTCCAGAGGACACGCGTTCGCCTGTCCGCCGGAGGTCCGTTCCAGCGACACGCAGTAGGACATCGGCACCTCGAACACGTGCTTCCTAAGAATTAAGACATGATTGATTCCCATACGAGAAGACGAATCTCGATCGACGATGCTCACCCGCAGTTCTTAGCTCGCATCTTGCAGGTGTTCGCATAGAGGATGCCGTCGCTGCCGCAGGCCGGCTTGGCGCCGCGCCAACACGACTCGCGACAGTGTCTCGTGGTCTGACAGTGCTTCTTGTTCGTACGCACGACGCCTTGCCTGTACAAAATGATACGACGTTTTAGAACGTTCGACCGCGAGACAGAACGCAACTGCGAACGTACCCGCAAGTAAGCAGTTTCATTTGGCAAGTGGACTTGTAGACATTCCCGTCGCTCCCACAGATCGGTCCGTCCAACGGCGCGAACTCGCAAGACACGGGACAGTTCTCCCTGTGCGCGGAGATGTTGTTGCAAGGACCGAGATGCGACAGCTCGATGCCGACTCGGCAGATCTCGACCCTGAGCATGCACTTGTTCAAGTACGTGCGTCCGTCGGTGCCGCACACGGGATCCTGATCGCCCGGGCATCGATGCTCGCACTTGCTACCGTTCGATCTCAGGCAGGCGGTCTTCTCCGCGGCCACGGTCACGCCTTTCGTCAATCACCGATAATCGAATCAATTAAGCGAATCGTTACATGGGACATCGCGTCGAACATGATGTTGAGTTTTCTAAGCGGGCCGGTGTACGGCGCAAAGGGACGGATCGAACGGACGTCGTAAAGCGAACGTATAATCAGCGAACCTTCGAATGATAATTATTACAGTTAGAGTGCCCTACCCTTGCCGCACATCTTCTTCCGCATGTCGCACTGGGACGCGTAGATCACCCCATCGCTACCGCAGACTGGCTCTCCGCTCGGTGGGCATATCCTGGGACAGGCGCCGGTTACCAAATCTGCACAGAAATTACATAGGCACGTTGCAGTTTACGCTAAAACCGTGGTGGTTAACGTTTGATCGATCTGTTCGCGAACAGCGGCTGTTTGCCTCGGCGTCGTAAAATCCGAGTAACATTTACTGTTACCTCGGATACGTATAAGGTCCCCTTTCTTAAACCAGCAATAACGTAATTGCGGTGGAAACAGAAAAGGAAGCGACTACCGGAAAATACTTGCCGATGAAACAGCTAGAACTCGTTTAATGTCGTTATACATACAAAATACGTTTAGACGAGATAAACTCGTTTCCGACGTATTTTGATAAAACCTCTGAACAGCGAATTACCGTACGCGGTACTTCTTATTGACTCGACCCGCGTAATTCATTCGAGCTATAAATTGAACGAGGGTCGCGGTTCTTACGCCGCGGTAAATGAGCGATACGATCGGGCCAAGCCGGAAAGAACGAAACTTTTTCGCGGCAACGGGTGTGCGTAATGGCAACATTAAGCCGAGAGATTCTGTCGAAACTTTAATTGCTTCCTGTTGACCCTTCGCCGCGGATATCTCTGGGTCCGACTTGGCTCGGTCTCGGTCCAGCGATCGCCGGGTCAACAGCACGCGGGATTTACTACGGTCGTTACGGCGCGGGCTCGCATAATATGTAACAAATTATAAAATCGAGGTGTACAGTTAAAGATAGCCGAAGGAGGAGCCCACGGTCACACCGGTGGCGGTGGTACACACCGCGGTGGATTAAACAGAGAAGAAGCCGATCGTGCGACTAATCGGCATCGGCAGCGAGTTTATACGAGATACGGACGATTTATCTTCCGATAGGATTCAATTATCCGGGGGAAACATTGAAGGAAATGAAAAGTAACGAAGAAGAAACGGGGGGCGTTCCCCCTCGCTCGCCTCGATCATTATAACATTATTCCTTATCTAACAACGGTGGCAATTGAGGCGGTGCAAAAACTCGGTGATACTCGTAGACCGGTACGTTCTGGTCGTCACCGGAACGTCAAGTGAACAATGACGAGCTCAATGGACGATTCGTTCTCGTTCCTCGATAATTTATCTGCGATCGGAGTCACGCATCGCGCCGCGCCAGCTTGTAAAAGCTTTTTTATCCCCGAGAAATCACGATGGCTTCGCGGACCCTCTCTTCTCTCCTCGGGACACAATTTGCTGGAATCGCGGCCGATCAGAGGCCGTGCACGGTTTGATATCCCGTTCGCTGGGTAATTCGTAGCTTGCCGCCCTGAATCCGCGAATCTTCGAATTCAGAAAATCCGAGATAGTTTAGATAGGCATTGTGATAGAAGGAGACCGCGGCTCTTCCTGCTCGGCGAGATCTCACAAAGGCGCCGACGTTCGCCACGCGGAACGATCGGTTTCCTTCCTGTACCAGCCTCGCGAGCACGATCGATTCATCGTTTATGCAACCGATTACCTGAGTTTTGAGAATCAGAAGACATCGCGTGGTACCGACGATGTCGACGAATCGCGAAAGAAATCCAAGAAATACTCGCGGATACGTGAATTTCACGGTACCGAATCGCGTCGCACAAATCGTCGGCGTTGATTAATGGTCCGGCGCGCGAGTTTAATCGGCTACAGGCAAAGAAACCGTAGATTACGAGAAAAACCGAGCTACCGAGAAGCAGAGGGAACGGAAGATTGACTCGACAATCACGATCGTCGAGTCTGTATACTTTGAGACGATCGTAGATCTCTCCGAGCACGTGTCTATGAAAAATGCCTGTCTCAATCGGTCTGGCAGTGAGTACTCGAAGGGAATCGGATTCTTCGGAAACGAGGCGGACGTCGGTCGGCAAGTGGACGCGCGGTCAGCCGCGCTGACGAGCGGGAGGTGTCCGTCACTCCCACGAACGCGATTAAGTGAATCAATTATGGCAATAACCGGGCGAGCAGTCTGGTCGGCGTGGGGCGATTGGCGAACAATGCTGATCGAATTATATCCCCGGTAGAAATCGTACGGGTCGCGCGAGCGTGCGCGTGCATGCACGCGGAGGATGCACAATGGAGCACGCCGCCACTTGCTTCAACGAGGACCCGGGAGAGAAACGGAGAGGAAACGAGAGAGGGAGAGAAATATGCGGGTCGGTGAACCACGGCAAGGATGCAACGGCGACCGTGGCGCGGGTCGGACGCTGTTGATCCTCCTTGCGATTTTTCGTCCACGAAACCAGAGGAGAGCGAACATGCTCCCGTGGATCGATAACGGGGAAATAAGGATCTGTTTAACGAACCGGAACGATTTGATACGAATAAGCTGTGGCTCATAAATAAAACGAACAATGCGCGGGCCGCCGACTCTTGTTTCTCGTTTTCGCGAGGACACCACCGGCAAAAATGAGTAAATCCACTGGTATCGTACCCTCGTATCATCGTCAACGAGCATGCACATAAATCACGTATAATGAACGATGAATCGCAAATCGCAAGCGAATCGTTCATGGGTTCCATCAGAATTAGATACTCGACAGAGCTTGTCGATCCCACAAATTTTACGATACGACTGATGAGATTTGCACATGAGATACGCAACGATACGAGCAACTCGAGATACTTAGTACTGATTTCGCACCGCGTAGGAGCTCGAATGGCAGAACGTTTGATACGACGATGGATAATTAAACGATTCGCGAAACGAACACGTCTCGTGAATCTTAAGTGGCAATATCAGAGGCCAGTGTCAATTAAACCCGACACAGGTTGCCACGTGTAAACCAACCCGAATGAGAAACAATCTACTCCTCTTGGGAGCGAGATACCTACGCGGATGCCGCACTGCGAAAACGAGCAGCTGCGAGCCGTGAAATCGGAACGGACCAATCTGTTGGCAAGTTTAAGTTAATTAACGCCGCGGAGATCGCCGCGGAGATCGCCGCCGCTGCAGCGTTACTCCTATTCCGGGGAGCTCGCGAACCATTCAAAACAGTTTCTACCTGTGACTTAGACTTAATTAACACCGACTACCACACGTCGTCGTGTCCGTATGTACCTAAGTGAAACGAAAAATAGGCGATACGCGTGTTCATTCAAACGATCGTGTAACTTTCCAACTTCCATTTGTCAACCGGTCATACTACTTTCCTCCTAATTTAGTCTAATTAAGTGGCGGGACAATGAGATCGTTGCGTTAGGTTCCGACGATGGTAGATCTGTGAAAAACGTCGAGGCTCGAGATCAGCGTAGGTGATCCATTAATTAAAATCCTGAAACAGTCCTGTTCTCGAGGTCGATCTGTCCACGTATGATCGCGTGAGCCGGACAGTATCTCCTCCGGGATGAAAGGAGCTGCCGCGTAAATCATTCGCGATCGATAGCATTGAGATCACGGTATAAAAGGTCGTTCGTGCTTCTCGGTTCAAGCCTCTGTAACGTTATGTAGCATGCTCGATATTCTCCGAGTAACCGGCCCGCCTCTATCAACGCGAGACGATCTCGTCTTCCTCATAGCATTGTCCCGTAATACGTCCACGTTGCGTTGCATTAACGAACCTTGGCTTCCGTTAGCACGCCAACAGGTCGCGTTGGTCGTTTCCAAAAATGATACATCGTCGAACGAAAACGTCTTGTCGTATCAAATGTTAAGACTTTTCAACTCTTTATTGTTATACACGCGAATTCTTTTCATCCCTAATCTAATCTAATCAATACTCGTCATCCTCCACGGTTTCCCTATATTTTTCCTCGATATCCAAAGTTCATTTTCTCAAAACCTTTATAGGAAGGTGTCCGAGAAAAAGTGTTAGAGCCTAGGAGAGGTGAGTCTATAGGTATTTCTGAATAACAATTTCCAAGTATTTGTTTCATTTTCCAATTGTGTCAGAAATAAATTCTGCACTCGATATAAAATTGTTGCATTTTTAAAATAGTTAAGAGAGCTGCGGTTGGCTCGCGTCGTCGAGCAATATCATTGTTTCATATACTTTATCGGTAGACAACGAAAGAAGCTGGGATGTTAACGACGGCGTGTATCACGGGCACTTCCGTATCGCGGTGAAACGATCCCATTTCCTGCCCCGGCTTCACCATTGTTCCGATAACGTCGTAAAGAAGCGGTTCAAACGCGATTCGCGGGAAAGACAAAGTCCCGTGGTACGCTCGCATGATTTATCACTCAGAAAGATCGTCCGAGGATACCGCGTTTCGCTCCGTATTCGATCCTCGATAAAGGCGACGAACAATTCGTACTAAAATCGTCGAGCAATTTCACGCGTTACTCTAGTACTAGTCCGCGTCGTTTATGTAATCAATAATTGAGAATGCACGCGACGCGTAAAAAATATCGAATGTGTTACATGTTGCAGGTTTTTAATTGATCGCCATAAACGCTCGCAAAATTTCGCGGTGCAACGATTAACCGTGGAATACATTGGGCAGCGAGATGACTAAATAACTAATTAATAGTCGGCTGGTAACTACTTGTGGTCCAGACGGGTTTACGTACGTGACACGCGGCGACGCATCGCGGCTTCGACTCTTGAGAGGATGCGATATTTCTACCCGAAACAATGACCATAAATGCTAATCAAGGAGTACCGGTTCAGCCCGATACGCAGTAACTGTACAATCGCCTTTTTTGCTCTCCGAAAGCGAACAAAAAACTAATTAAGCCGTATGACACGGCCGTAGCCGACCATGAAACCGTGTTTTATTAGACAGAAGCAGGACGCTCGCGAGATTCATCTTCGTTTTAAACGAATCATCACTTGTCATCGATTTGACAAAAGGACATAATGAATTTACTGAACGACAGAATTGGTCGCGCAGGGCAGGGACTGGATCGAGGAAACGTAGTAGAATAACGAGCGAGTGAATTATTGAAAATTAATGTGAGTAACCGTGTCAGAAAGAAGCCGACGTTGACGTGTAAGAGGGCAGGAGGAGGCCCCGGGATCTGCAAAAACGGGACGGTATGTGTGTCGCTCGATCGCGCGGAAGGCACGACAAACGAGTCGCGTTCCATAAATCGTCGCTTCGT